AAAAACCTAAGATTCAAAGGCTAGAGATGAACATGGACCTTCATTTGAATATGATCACACATGCTTACATGAAGCATGAATCTGAAAATTTTGAAGAAGTTCAATATGGTTCAAAATGAAGAATAAAAGAGACTTGACAAGACAATAAAACATTGCGATATGATCGTAACAATTTATTTTTGAGTCAAATTGCTAACTTGGCAAGAATTCAAAATCATTTACGATATGATTGTAGTGATGAGCATTGGAGCAAAGAACTTGATGATCATCTCAAGGATTGTAAAATTAGTTTACAACCTACTCCACTAAGAGAAAATGTTTTCAAATGGAGGAATTAAACTATATAAGATATAGCATAATTCATGATGAACTGTACCTATCTTCCAAACAATAGTTCTAAGGATACACCTTTAAATTGAGCTTTTTACACTAATAAGGATTGCGTCAAATCACAATGTAGATAAGACATCATATAAGATATGGATAAGAGAAGTTCTTATTTTGTTTTTCTACAAATTTAAGAATAAGAAACTTGTATTAAACTGTTTAGTGCAATGTTGAATTCTAAAGCTCAGTACATGGGTACTACAATCACAAAATGTTTTGAGGATAAATTGTTTTTTATTCTAATTGCCTTTTGAAAAAGATATCATTTCTAAAAGGAAAGTGGGAGTAATTCTCGAAAAGGTCGAGAAGAGAAACAAACTGGCTTATCCTATGCTAAAAGAGCTTTTTTCATAAGGCAAGTGGGAGTGTAAGTCTCGAAGGTGTTCGAGAGAACCAAAAAATGAGAATGATTCACACCATGTCAAAAACAACAACACGTGGTCTCATTAATGTAATGGGATACATAATCATGTGTCAAGGGCCACATTCCATGTATACCCATCTTATGTTGTTCTTCATTGAAAATAAGTTTTTACTTGTTGCGTATAAACCCACAAAGTCTAGTAAATCTAAGCCAGATAAATAATTTTTATGGTTAAGAAATTCTAAAATATTGATTTTAGAATGTAAGATTTGACGAGTCACAACTCCAAAATAGCTTAGTACAATGAAAATCTGAAATGGTTTCCATGTCTGAAATTGAGTGTGAGACACTTGGTTGATTTGCATGAATTGGGAGAGAACCATTGAATGCAAAGAGTAGACAAAGAAGGAATTTTTTTTTCTAAGCATTGATTATATAGTCACTAAAGGATTCAACGAATTCATAGTATTGACTATGGTGAAATCTTTCGTTGCTAATATTGCTTATATCTATTCAAACTCTTCTCGTGATGTCAACTCTATGTGATGTGGTTGATGGAGTTCAAAACGCTTTCTTGAAATTGTTCATGAAATATAATGGGTATGTGATACAAACATTAACGTTTTGAAAGACCAGGAAGTCCTAGAAATGCATGTCCATTAGTGGATTGAAGTAAGCATCATGGAGTAAAATCTTCGATTTATTAAGTTAATCAAATTGGTTGATAGTTTATAAATGAAGAAGCTTGTACATATAAAAATTTTAGTGGGAGCTATGTAGTATTCTTGGTTTTGTATGTATATGACATACTTCTTACAAGATACGATGTTCCCATACTTGAATAGGTCAAGTAATGGCTAATGAATTGTTATTGTATGAAAGACCTTGAAGGATTAAATGAGTACATCTTGGGAATCAAGATTTATTGAGATTGGTCTTGAAAGAGGATTGAACTTAATTGAGAAACTTATATAGATGGGGTTCTCTCTAGGTTCAAGCATGAAAACTCCAAAATAGGTTTCACTCCTGTGTAGCATAGCACATTGCTTATCAAGACTCAGTGCAAACCAAAGACTAATGAGATTTAGCGAATGAGTAACATTCCTTGTGCATTTGCAAAGGATTCTTCATAAAGGCTACGTAGTATACTCATTAGATGCATTTGTGCAATTTTCAATCGAATTCTGATATGTGATATTAGAAATTATAGAGTTAAGAGTTTCCTGAAGTACTTGGAGAAGAATAAAAGGCAACGTCCAAGTATATGGAGATAAACTATCATAAGAGAAAAGGTCGCAAAGTTCATATGGATGAGAATGTCTCAAAATTTGTTAACTAAACTATTTCAAAAGCCTAAATATGAAAGTCATATTAGGTTCAATAGAAATTGAACATATTAGATGGCTTTGATTATATATTGGACACAGTTGAAAAGCTATCAATTGTGTTCTCCTTATGTTTATCAACGTGAAACAAAGTTTCATACTTATTTAATCATGGTTTAGTATTAAATTAAATGTCCAAGATATTTTATGAATTTCAATGGGTTTGTCAAATTCGTGATTTGATGAATGAAACCCCATAAGTGAACTGAACTGAATTCATGGAATATTTAAGTTCCTAATCCAAGTTGTTAAACCGGACATAAATGACTTATTGAAAAGGATTAGCATATAAGATTGATTAATAGCGCAGTTTCATGGGCTATGGGAACATAGAGATGTTCAGTCAATTATATGGATTTGTATGGTTGATACATGATCGAACTGACCTATTTAGAAGTTTTTGAAAACTTTGCAATTATATTAGTGGATTCCTAAGACATGAGTAGAACACTACTTATCTTAATGATTAGTGTAACTTTGATGTTGACAAACGTGATGCCGTAAAAGGGGGCTTTAAAAGCAACACTTAGGTTATACTAAAAGTTGAGTGGGAGTTTTGGTTGCCACAAGATTGAAAAGGTCCTCCTATATTAGATAGGATGGGTGTCTTGGCCTCTTGAAGAGTAAGGATTGGAAATGCATGGCCATGCTCAAATGGATTACTAGATAATCATTTGTTTAGCAATTCGAACACGAATTTCAAGAAACGATTTGTGTACTAGTATGGATGACATAGAGATGTAATCATACTATCAAATTGGACACTAAGAGACTTAAGGAATTTGAAGATTGCACGCTTGTCTCAGACAAGTGGGAGATTGAAGGAAATGTGTCCTCGACTCTCGTGCAATTGCTAATATAATATGGATCGTTTTATGGAGATAATAAGTTCGTTTAGTTGGGTCGTCTTTACGTCTTGCTAGAGACCAATATTGATAATTGGATTAAACCAATGCTAACTAAATTGATCCGATGAGGTCACACGTTACAATGTTAGGTCAAACAAGAATACTGAGTCCAAATGTTGGGTTTAGTGAATGACTGGCCATAACGAGTAAGATAGGAATAAGTCTTGCCCTAATTAGATAATATAATTATATATAATAAAGGGCTTGGGAAAAAATACACTGATGTCAATCTTTCATAAAGAAACAACGTAATATTTTTCCCTTCCTCTCTCTCTACAACCGGTTAGAAGTTCTCCATAGAATATGAGATTAATCTCTCCCGTCCAACTAGCATTGGTGGAGGTTCGATCTACACTTGTGGACCAATATTAGAGGAGCAACAAATAGGGCTCTAATCTCCGCAAGAAGGTAGAAGAAAGCTTGGGGAATTCATGAATCAATGGTTAATTCTAAACTATTATGTGATCCTTTATTTGTATATGATTGAGATCCTGTTTAGGTGCGTATGAATGAGATTCATGAAATTTTTCTGAGAGTACCTAAAACCCTAAAATATGATCTTCCTTATTTTTTTTGTCCAAGCACGACACCTACTGGAAAGTCACTAGCATTGCACATTAGCTCAAATGGCAAGCTCCAATCCGAAGCTTGCACAACGGGAGAGGAAATGAAAGCTTCCTTGAGCTTGTGAAATGCCTCAAGGAAAGCCTCATTGAAGCTAAAAACAACATCCTTTTAGAGTAATTCAGTCAAAGGTTTGGCGATTGATGAGAAATCTTTAATGAACCTTTGGTAAATACCGGCATGCCCAAGAAAAGCTCTTACTCCCGTGATGGAGGTAAGAGGGGGCAACTTTGCAATCACCAAAACTTTGGCCGGATCAACCTCAATGCCATTCTTTGAAAATTTACAGCCAAGGACAATTCCCTCCTCAACCATAAAGTGGCATTTTTCCCAATTCAAAACCAAACTCGTCTCTTGACACCTTTTCAAAACTTTTTCAAGATTATAAAGACAATTGTCAAAAGACGAGCCACCAACACTAAAATCATCCATGAATACCTTAATTTCTTTTTCAAGAATATTAGAGAAAATAGAGGTTATGCATTGTTGGAAAGTTGAAGGAGCATTGCATAATCCGAATGGTAATCTTCAGTATGCAAATGTTCCATATGGACATGTGAAAGTAGTTTTCTCTTAGTCACTTGGATGGACAGGTATTTGAAAAAATCCAGAGTACCCATCCAAGAAGCAAAAGAAAGCATGGTGAGAAAGTCTTTCCAACATTTGGTCCATGAATGGGAGAGGAAAATGGTCCTTCTTTTTATTTTTGTTCAATCTCCTATAATCAATACACATCCTCCACCCGGTCACCGTTAAGGTGGAGATATATCCTCTCTTCCTTCAATTTTGACGATGGTCAATCCACCCTTTTTTGGAACTACATGAACTGGGCTAACCCATTTGCTATCGGAGATAGCATAAATGATGCCCACTTCACGTAGTTTCAAAGTCTCTTTCTTGACACCTCTTAGAGGTTAGGGTTCAACCTCCTTTGAGGTTTAATGGAGGTGGATTGATCATCTTTAAGGTGAATAGGATGCATGCACAAGGAAGGGATAATACCCTTGACATAGCCAATGCTATACCGTATCACATCTTTATATTTTCTCAAAACATCAAGAAATTTTTCTAAATGAAGTCCATTAAGGCTAGCATTGAAGATAGTGGGATATTTTCCTTTATTATCAAGAAAAGCATATTTTAAAGAGGGAGGAAGGGGTTTGAGTTCTACCTTGGGAGGATGCTTTCTTGTTCAACCTTGATTTCCACTTTTTTTTTTCATTCTCATCCACCTTCGAGTTTCCTCCAAAGCCCTAAAGAAATATCTTGCCTCTTGTGAATGAAACTCTTCCTTGCAAGTAAGAGTTTCAATCATCAGATCTTGCGGCCTCATCAATACCCTCCCCAAACGATCCAACTCCTCATTAACAACATTAACTCGGTAGCATTTCTCAACCATGGGGTCTTGAGTAACATGGAGAACTCAAAGACAATCTTCTCATCGGCCACCACACATGTAATGGTGTTGTTCTTGCAATTGATGACTACCCCCAAAATTTTAAGAGCTTCATGACCCAAGATTAAAGGAGTATCAACATCTTCCTCCATATCCATCACTACAAAATCACATGGCACATAGATATGCCCAACTTTAATAGGAACATCTTCAAGTTCACCAAAAGGAAGTTTGACCGAGTGGTCGGCTAGTTGAATTATTTTTCTTGTGGGAATCATTTTAATTTTGAGATTTTGTTCAATGGGGAGGGAAATTAAGCTAACACTCGCTCCTAAATCCGCAAAGGCACCCCTAGGTTCCATGTTACCAATCTTAATTGGTAAAGTAAAGCTTCCCGGGTCCTTCTCTTTCTTTGGCATCTTGTGTTGAATGAGTGTATTAACTTGATGAGGGAGGGTAATGAGCTCGTTATTAAGCTTCCTCTTGGTGGTTAAGATATCCTTGAGAAACTTAGAGTAGGAAGGCATTGGGGTAACAACGTCGATGAAAGGGAGACTTATGTGTAAGTTCATCATTACACTAAGGAATTTTGCAAATTTATCATTCAACTTTCTCTCCGCAAGCGAACTGGGAAAAGGAACTGGCTCATCTAGATTACTAGTCTCACTAGGACTTGAGGTTGTTTTCTCATCATTGTGCTTCTTCTCCTCTACATTCTCTTCCTTCCCAACACCTTTGTCTTCTTCAAATTTCTTCTCCAGTCTCACACTTTCTTCTTCCTCTTCTTTAGGCCCTACACAGGATGTGTCCAATCTCAATGTAATTGCATTGCAAGAATCAAGTTTTAAGTTGTGATAGGGGTTAGGTTGTGTTTTCCCAGGTAAGGTAGAAGGTGAGTTGAAAGGTACTCTCTCGGCCAATTAGGCTAGTTCTGAATAAACTATCTTGTTATTAGCTTTGACCTCTTGCATTTGTTGATTAATGGCTTGGAGCTGTTGGAGAATTTGGGTTTGTGTGGAATCGAATTGTGATGCTTGATCTTTACTCCTTTGAGACCCTTGATTTTTATTTTTTGTATTGGTTTTGGTTGTTGTATTGGCTATTTCTTGGGTAGTTACCCCTTGGGTTTTGGTTTTGAGGTGGAGGTGGGTTTTGATATTGAGGGTTGGAATTGTATGATGGTTGAGCTTGTTTCCCCCATTATTGAGGTTGAGGTTGAGATGCAAATTCGGGTGGTGGTTGTCTCCAAGCTACTCCTCCACCACTTCCCCTAAATCCATCTTGCCTTGTGTTGTAAGCCGCAACATGTTCGAGGCTCAAGCCTCCACAATACAATGTATCATGGTTTGTACCACCACAATTTTGACATGAGAAAAAATTGACATGATAATAGCTTGCCCCACTATTAACACTTGTGTTCAACTTTGCAAGCCCCTTATCAAAAGCTCAATTTGAAGTTGCAATTGGTCAACCTTCTCCAATTCATACATCCCACCTTTATTCAGTGCATTCCTTCTTCTACCACCCCAAGAGTAGTTCTTCACCACTTTTTTTATTGTTGCCTCAACTTGTTTTGGGGGATCTTGATCAATTGTCCACCGGCCCCCGCATCCAAGTTAGCTCTAGACATTAGTTCCAATCCATCATATAAGAATCGCTTGAGTAAGCTTTGATTGTATTCATGATGAGGACATGCTTGTACCAACTCCTTGAATCTTTTCCAAGCTTCACTAAGACTCTCATCCGTTTCTTGTTCAAATGATGCAATATTCCTTCTCATCTCGGCAGTCTTCTCCTTGGAAATGAACCTCTTCAAAAATGCCTTGACTATCTCTCTCCATGTTGTGAGAGAATTTGACATCACTTGCTTGAGCCACTTCTTAGCTCTACCCAAAAGAGGTTGTCAAAATAGATGCATTCGGATGTACTCTTGCGAAACTTGATTGGTTTGAATCATGGCACATAGCTCAAGGAATCTATCAAGGTTCTCAATGGGATCTTCACTTGGTGAACCATAAAATTGCCCCCCTTGTACCATCCTTGTGTATTGGGGATGGATGGTAAAGTTGGTTTCCGTGATGGGAAGCAAAATACCTCCTGTGAGCTCGTAATCGTCCGGATTCCTTAACTCACGAAACAAAACTTCATCCTCTTTTCCCGCCATTGTCTCACTTTGAGCACTTGAAGAACAAGAGCCACTCCCACTATCCACTATAGCACCAAGACCTCTTCCCTCTTCTTGATAAAGCCTACGGACTTGTCTTAAAGTTCGGTTAATTTTGTGGTCAATGTTTTGTATGGAGGACCTTAGATCTCCTAAGCATCCACCAAAGCTAAGAGAATGATTAGAAATAAAAAGTAGGATAAAGCAAGCAAATAAAATGACTCTCTAACAATAGCAAAAATACATGCTAAACAAGCCCTTTCCCCGGCAACGGCACCAAAATTTGATCTAACTAGGTGGAGTAGGTCGTTGGGACTACTACCCTAATCAAGTTAATTATTTATAAACATAAACCTTTAACTAAACTAGTTAGTGTAAGGAGGGTGATCCCATCGTAAGGGTGTCCTTCCTTAGATGCCCATGACCACTTAAAAGCCTAGGACTTTACACTTGTTAAGGTGTAGTAGGATTTGAACTCCTGACTGTTTGGGGGACCTTGAATTAGAATTGATTCTATCATTATGCTTTTTATAAGAAACAAGTAGGAGTCGCCAATGAGTTTTGGGAAAACTCATAAGCCTCGTTCATGCCTTTCTTCCATATGGAGTTCACGGAATAATTAGCACAAATCGTAAGTTTACCCATTGGTCTACATAAACCAGAAATGATTTCGGGAGCGAGAGTACTAAAATAACGTTTCCTTTAGGGGGGAATCACTATCTTAGCCCTAGTACGACCTCTACTAGCTCTTCCTTTTTTACAATTTCATCACCAAACAATATATGCAACGCGAGACCTAAAACCAAGTTTGGCCCTATTCTCTTCACCTTAAAAAAATAAGGAAATTTTGACTTTTACCACCTTCAAATAACCACTTAATTGAATTTACCACCTCCAAAAAAAAAGATTTACTTTACCACCTCATAAAAAAATTAAACATCAGTTTTACCACCAATCACCTCCAACTAATGGATTCCGTCCATAAATCCGTTAGTGGGGCCTACCTTGCACACGTGTCGCCATATTATTGGGTAAGCTTTAGAAAAAATAATTAAAAAAAACAAAAAAAAAATTAAAAAACCTCATCCATCAATTGGTGGCTGCTGCCACCGTCGAGACCCCACCACCGGACCGACTACGACCAGCCCCACCACCTGACCGCTACGACCAGCCCCCCCACCTAACCGCTACCAGCCCCCACCACCTAACCGTAACGACCAACGACCCCACCACCTAATAACTACCACCGCACCGCACAGCCACAACCACCGCACCGCACCGCACAACCACCATACCGATTTCGACCCCGTTTCCACCAATTTCCGACCTCAAAACCCTAGTCACCACCTAATCACTACGACCAACGACCCCACCACCAACTTCCGACCCCTCCCTTGCCCCCACACGAAATTCCGACAACACGAAATTCCGACCAACGACCCCACTAATCCACAACCACCGCATCGCACCGCACAGCCACAGCCCCCACACCGGATTTCGACCCCCTTTTCACCAACTTCCGACCTCAAAACCCTAGCCACCAAATTCCGACCAACCATATAGCCCCCCTAATTCCGACAACTCTTAAAACCCTAGCCACCACCAAATTCCGCACTCCTAAAACCCTAACCACCACCTAATTCCGATCACCTCCCTAGGTTACACTAAATTCCGACCCCTCTCTTGCCCCCACACGAAATTCCGACCAACCATGGTGTGTTAATTTTGTTGCCGGCTGGGTTGATATGGAAATCGGGGAAGATGAAGAAGAACCGTCAAAAAGGTGGGCCCTACTAACGGATTCATGGACGGAATTCGTTAGTTGGTGGTTAAATCGAATTTTTGGAAATTTTTATGGTGGTAAAGTAAATCTTTTTTTTTTGGAGGTGGTAAATTCAATTAAGTGGTTATTTGAAGGTGGTAAAAGTCAAAATTTCCTTATTAAATAAAAATAGTTTCAGTTTAGTAAAAATAAGTCCAGTTTAATAAAAATAATATCAGTTCAGTAAAAATAAGTTGAGTTCAGCAAAATTCAGTTTTATTAAAGAAGAATTATAAAATAAAATCAGTAAAAATAATTTTAGATCAGCAAAAATAAATTAAGTTCAGTAAAATTAATTTAAGTTCAGTAAAAATAATTTAAGTTCAGCAAAAATAATTTTAGTTTAGTAAAAATAATTTTAGTTCAGCAAAATTAAGGTGAAGAGAACGGGGCATTAGTTGATTTTATTTACACACATTAATTCACGTAGGAATTACATTGCAACTTCGTTATTCTTTATTTAATCAAATTTGTGAATATGACAAGAAATAAATTATATTCGCCTTGGCTTAAGTGATCAACCAATAATTCATTATTCAATTCTACTCTTTTTTAATGCAAGATACTATGTGGAATTGATTAATTAAACCTTTTAAAGTGATCAAGCAACACTAATTAATTAATTAAAGTTCTTTTAAACAAGAAAATAAAAATGATTTATCTAAGCGCTCGGGAATTTACCACTTCTCTTTGCTAGATCTCCGTTTAGAACACTTATGGACTCCTTCTTGTTCGAAACCTCCACCATAGTAACAAAATATCAAAGGGGTGAGTGTTTAGGACAAGAGGGGTTAGGTAGCACAAGTTCACAAGTTTTTCCCCAGAGTTTAAGGTTAATTTTCTATATGTTTAAGCCTCGGATTAATCCTCTATTTATAGGGAATAAGTAGGTTAAGGGTTTTTAACATTCCGCTGCAGAAGGTGTCTCGCGAAACTAGATGAGTTGCGCGCGGCATCCCATCACAAGTGATTGAGCTGCGCTACCTGTCTTACGAGTGGCTTTATGGCAAGATTCAATTTTCCATTTTTTTGAAATTCTGAATCTTTCACGAGCGCAACTCTGGTAGTTTCGTTGAGTGTCACGCGCAACTAAATTAGTTGCACACGCTAGCCTAGCGCAACTCCTTGAGATGCGTGCGTTATTTTCTGCGGCAGCTCTTATTTTAACCTAGGCGCTCCTAAATCTGTCATTATTGGGTTTTAAGTAGAGGCTTAAGACTAATTATGATTGAATTTCATTAATTAGACTTTGTTTGGTTATGTTTCTTGGTTTGGGATAGTCTTTTGTGTTTTGTGGTTTAATCAGTTATCCATAAGCATTCTTCACTTCGATCCAACACGAAGATGGTTTTATTTATCGTCATTGCACTTCCTGTCAGGGCAGGAGGCCAAAAGTAGGTGTCTACAGTTATCCCCCACTTTGATTGAGTCTAGAATAGACGATGATCAAAGTAGTCAAGGAAAGAAATCCGAGACTCATTCTACGAAGTTCTCAAAGAGTAGAGAATCTTTCAGAAATGCTAAGGATGTAGAAACGATCCTTGATTCGCTAAGTGTATGAAACAAGTAGCTATTAAGGCCAGAAAAAGTTATTTCTAGTCTTAACATGCTAAAGAATCTAGATTGATCCTTTGCTTTTGTAGAATGCTTTTACAAGTAAAGGTGTTCTTAGTGATGTCAAATCATGAGAAGAGATCGATTTAAAAAAGAGTAAAAGGGGGGTGATTTCCTCTCAATCATGTCATTGAAACTTTAGCCCGACTTTAACAAAGTAAAAAGATGAAAAAGGTGTTTTTGGCATTCGATCCTAGATGTTTTCGGCATTCGAGCCTAAATGTTTCGGTATTCAAACCGGATGTTCACAAGATAGAAATACATGTCTCAAGACTGGAGGCAAATATTCAAATCTAGTGAGAGAGAACAAAGTCAGCAACTCTCTACGTTTTCCTTCCCGGTTGCTTCCAATCAAGAAGAGTTTGTTCCTAATGGTTCAGCGCGCCTGTCGACTCGTGAGCTAACGCCTAAAGTAAAGTAATTCTCTACCTTTTCCTTCCGAGAGGTAGATCTCGCAAAGCTTGGGCTGAAGTGAAATTTTACGCAACACCTACGCCATTCAATTTTACGCTGTACGATACACCTTGCATTTTTACGCTGGATGATGACGCCTTCCTTTTTTCTTTGGACGTGAAAAAAAGAAGAAAAGCCAGACATTTATAACGTCAGTACAGTAAAATGACAAACCTGTCTATGGGAGCTTTTATGTAAAGCACCACTATGGAACGTCTTGAGACAAATTTACAAAAAACGTTTAATATGTATGCTTAGGCATGTGCATCGTTCTGAGTTGCGCTGGTCTGTTGAAAAATGATCAAACGGATTAAAATCTGGATAACGGTTATTTTAGTGATCGGTATCCGCGCGTAACTCAGTAGGTCGCGCTGGCCAGGCATGTGCATCGTTCTGAGTTGCGCTGGTCTGTCTTGCACAACTGATTCAGTTGCGCGCGACATTTAAATCAGCAAAAAAAAAAATTCATGAGTGCGATTTTCAGTTGGCATTCTCTCTTCTTCCTTCATCATTTTCGACCCTTTCTCTCTCTAAGCTCGGTTGTTTGCGATTTTTGAAGGTAAAAGAAGTAGATTTCATCCCTTATTCATATTTTCCATAATCTAATGTAAGTTTTTTACTAAATTTCGTTCGTTTTTGGCTGAATTTGGGCGATTTTCGAATCGTTAAACCCCAAATTTCGAATTTGGGGGGTTTTTTATTCGTTCCATCATTCTTGAAATTGTTTGTTCCATGTTGTTATTTCATGTTTAAGGAGTGTTTTGCAACAAATTTCATAAAAAATGAATAAGTATTGAGCCTTGTATGAGCATTTCTTTTTTTAAGTTCGTTCTTGCTCTTTTTCTTCGAATTTTGCTTGAATTTGTTGCTTTTTCTTGCTCATTTTGGTTGCATTTGCTGATTATGAAGTAGATTATAGTATTGGAACTAGTATTACTTTCATAATTCATATTTTGCAAATTTTGAAATTTTAAAAAATGGCGCTAAGCATACTCTTAGCTCGTTTTTTGCCATGTTTAAACCTCAAAATTGTATGGTAGACGATAATCATGTTTTTATTACTGTTTTTCGTCAAGGAGTAGTTGACTCTTTGAGATTTTTGAAATACAAT